TTCTCAATAATAGTATCATACCTACCGTTCTCTACAGGTTGCGTCAGCGGTTTTAAATCGGAAACCCGTACTTACAACTTGATGAAGGACTCGGTGGACAAACAAGGTTTGGGCACGTGTGATGTTTGTTCCAACAATCAATGTTTGAACTAAGGTATCTGCCAAGAGGCTCAAACCAGACAGGGGTACACGTGCATATGTCAACCCGGCTACAGCGGCGAGTATTGTGACAAGATAAGTGAAGTTTGCACGCCGGGTAAGTTGGAAAGGTTTTTCGAAATCGCACTTAGCAAAATTTACTCGTTGTATAACAATTAAATCATTTTTGCTATTGAAATTGTTTGCGATTATTATAGGAATCTGTGGGCTCGGTGAATGTTTGGCTGGACACGAAGAAATCGAATGCAAATGTAAAATCGGCACTCTCGGGAAGAGATGCGAACGTTCCGTTGAAATCGTCGAACCGTATTTCGGAGGCAAATCTTATCTAGCGTACCAGGCACCGACTTCGCAACAGAAGTATTTAAAAAAAAACCACTCTTACCCAAAATATATTGATTTAATGATTTACATTCATCGTTTTCTATAGCGGTCGGAAAATGTTTTAATCGTATTGTTTTCACGTATTTCAGACTAACGATATCCTTGAAAATCAATCCGGCGTCCTTGACTGACGGTGTGATTCTGTACGCCGCTCAAAACCACCAAGGAATCGGCCAATTCATGTCAGTGACGTTGAAGAACAGACAAGTGGAATTCCGCTACACCGTGGCCGGTATGTTAAAATTTGATAACCTGCAGGGCTCGTTAAATTATGAATTCGCTTATTTTTTGTGAAAATTATTTTGACAAATATGATCCTGTATACCTAAGTTTAATTCTAAAATTAAAAACATTTTAGCACATATTTTGGGTTTTTTACATAATACATAATATAATATACACCATACATAATATTGTCAAAATATGTTAGTTTTCATTGTACCTATATTCCGACTTTTAAAATAATATTTCAAAAATTGTATATAGCATAATTCCCGAGCCCTAATTATTATTTTGTTTATGATATTATATTGATTTAATTTATAGTATTTTACTTGTTATCGAAACGACGTGTTGTAACTTTTTAATTTCGTTAAGGTATGACGTCCATGCTGCGAAGCAGACAAAATTTGGAAATTGGAGAGTGGACTACGATAACCGTTAGCCGTAACACTGAAACACAGGAATGCAAATTGTCAGTCAATAAAGAAACGCCAATCAGATCCATCGAAAACGGTAATATGCACGCCTTGGAACTGAAAACCCACCTGTTTGTGGGCGGTTACGATTCGTACAAGGTGAAAATCGCTAAATCCGTGGAAGTCGAGAACAATTTCAAAGGATGCATAAAAATGGTAATGCCTGTAGTCTCTGGATGTTTGATTTTTATAATTATGTATAGATCACGAAGATCTAACAATTGTGTTGAATGCTAACTTACAGATATAGTTGAAGCTGGACTAACTATTGTGTCCACAACTTCACCATACGTTATATTATATTTGTATTTACATAATCTTGACATAAAGGTAGCTTCGAAATTTTTTCGTTTCTATTATTATTATACATTTAAATTACACTCGATGATATAGGTACACGCCGTTACGTTACTCGCGAGTTAATACGTTCGGAATCAAATTAATTTTTGTTTATTGACATATAGTCCATATATATATAACGCATTAATATATTTTTTTATAAAGAATAAAAAACCTACATAAAAACTTGAAAGTATAATCAAACTAAAACTTCTGTCAAATTGCGATCAAAGCTTGTCAAATTAATTTAATTATAGTTTCATGTACTTCTCACTATAATATAATACACTAAAAAATAAAAATCAATAAATAATTACCTTATAAATTAATCATTATTTATAATTTAATATACGTTTGTAATTGAAACACTATGCCTGATCTTCTTGATACATCTGGCGCAATATGCACATCATGTATGCTTACACCAAATGCCCAATTAATAAACAAAATGTCTGTTTCAGCTCAAAGTGTCCGGAATGGACTTGTACATGATAAGTTCTACAGTGGATTCCGCTAATACTGAAGACTGCGTAGTTGCTCGGGGAGACGCCTGTTCTTATAACCACTGCAAGAATTACGCGAACTGCCACACCGTGTCCAAACACTACGAATACGTATGCGAATGTGAAAACGGATTCAGGTAAACCGATTTCGATCGAATTGAATAATATTATGATTATGATTTTTTACCGGTCGTGTATAATACTGAAATGGGACGTGTTTTTATATGTAGTGGTCCGAAGTGTGACGTCGAAGCGAAGTTGTGTTCGACCCTGAAACCGTGTCTCAACGACGGCATCTGCACAGACATCGATTCGAGCTCGTACAGGTGCGATTGCCCTCTCGGACATTCGGGACCGACGTGCAACGAAAGTGCGTATTGATGGTGGTAGACAATTTTTAATTTTTGTATTTTTAACGCGGAATTTTTTCGCAGAGGTGGTGTTGGACATCACAGCCAATTTTAGCGGCAACAGTTACCTGCAATTGGAAAACAGTCTACTGGACCGGAACAAGAGGGAACATTCCATATCGATGACGTTCACCACAGATTCAGCCAACGGTCTGTTGTACTGGCAAGGCCAAGAACCTAACAACGATGGCGTGGTCGACAATTACATCGCCATCTCGAGTGAGCCAATAACCGTCAATTATATTAATAATAAATCGTTGAAAATTCAGTTTAATATTTGAATTTTTTTTTATATAATTAATATTAATTTCCTTTTAAATAAATCGTGTCTCGTTTTGCAGTCGTCAACGGCTACGTGGAACTGAGTCACAGGTTCCAAGGCAGATCGACACCAGCAATCCGAGCCACGGACCATCACGTCAACAACAACGAACCCCACGTGATATTGATCCGCGGGAACGGGGCCGAATGGTCTCTGGAACTGGATAGGTCGACCACAAAATACGGTAAAGAACGCGACGTGGACATCCAACAGCTCTTGGAATCCACCGATTTGATATATATAGGTAAGTCAAAACAGCGCTTATTTATTGTCTATACCCTAGTCAGAGGTAGGGAGCCTAGGGAGTCGTGACGACCCCTCACTCATCGAAACACATTTTTATCAATTATTTAAATTTAAATTATTATACTTATATTTCTAATGTCAATGCATTATAATTAATAATTATGTATTCAAATAAATTAAGTTGTAGATTTATGTTATGGTAACTACTAACTATTATTAGTTGTTATCAAGAAATGAAATTAATGTAGGTTTTATTTTGCATGGATTAGCACTGAACAGTAGTAAAAAACAACTATACAACTAAAACAACTATATATATCAAGTGTGTAGGGAAGTTTTTTTTATTTAATTAGCGTTTTTTAAGTTTAAATCATAGATGTCAATAATCAAGAACTTAACATAGGTACTTGACGCCGGTCCTTACTTCTTAGTGGTTTTAGTAAAAAAAAAGTAAAACCTGTCCTTGGGTTTTTGAGTTTTGAAAAAAGCGAATTCTTTTACACAGGTGGAGTACCGGAAGTCATACTGACGACGAACGACAACCATTACAAAGGGTATGAGGGTTGTATCGGTGACGTGCGTGTCCAGGACTCAGGATACGTGAATCTGGGCCAAAAGTCGTTGTCCGGCAAAAACGTTGCTTCGTGTAACAGGTAATTACGTCATACCATGGACGATATTATTTTATGTGCATTAATATAATATAAAATATTATTCGCAGGGCTGTGAAAGCGCAGTAAAAAACTTATTAAAGAACTTAATTCCTTCTACAAAAGCCCAATAAGACAATTTAAAAAACACTCAAACTCATTATATGTTCACAGCCCTGATTGTGTTTTTGTTTGCCCAACCTAATAAGTTTATTTATTTATTTATTTATTATTAAGTTTAACGGGACAAGCCCTTTTACATAGGATATAATACATAATAAACAAGAACAACCATACATATACAAAATAATTAATACAGTTTGAAAGGTGAATTATAACAAAAATTTACAAATATATAAAAAATTAAATTTTAATTAGATAGTAGGTCTACAGCTTTTGCTTTGAAAGATTCACGAGACATAAAAAAGAAATCGACTTCATTACAAATTGAATTACATAGTGATAGAGCTCTAGGAAAAAATGAATCTGAACATATTTTTTTTTTATAAAAAGGTACGTGAAATAAACAAGGGTTTCTAGTCGAATAACTATGAGTACAAAAACTAATTTTACTTAATAAATCAGGACAATCAATATAATTATTAACAAGATCATAAATAAACATGACGTCAGATAACTTACGCCTAACCTTACAAGGCTGAATATAAATAGAATTAGCTACTAATGAAAATGAATCTCTAGAAATGGGTAGGTTTAAACGAAACGCTATAGACTTAAGGAATTTATACTGAACATTCTCAACCAATTTATCAGTAGAATTTTGAGCCCAGATTATTGAACCGAACTCAGTATGAGACCTAACAAGAGAACAATAGAGCATTTTTAATGTAAATACATTTTTAAATTCTTTAGTATTTCGTAAAATAAACGCTGTGTCTAGAGCACCGGTCGGCCGGTTCGATATTAGAGCACCGGGCGCCCGGATGGATAATAGAGCACCATACGCCCGGATAGATAATGTAGCACCGGGCGCCCGGTAACACTGTAGAGTACCGGGTCACACTGTAAATTACCCGCTTCATTTGAATATTGGCGTCTAATTTAAATATGTAATAATAGTTATTTTATTAGGAAAACCTTAATCGTTTATTTGGCCTAATATGTAATAATAGTTATTTTATTAGGAAAACCTTAATCGTTTATTTGGCCTTACTAACCTTTATAGGTATCTTTCCCTTCAATTTCATGGCGAGTGTAGTACAGTACAGCTCAGTATAAAATATAGTTTTCAGTTTTGTTTTTTTCAAAGTTTAAAGTTTTTTTCAAATATGAAACTTTTTGATGTTTTTTCTTCATTTGATGAATTTGAAAGTGTTTTAAGTCACTACAAAGACAAAAATTATGTCGACTTTATTGTTTTGAGCTGTGTGCGACTAGAACGGGATAGAAACGCAGTGAAATTGGTTCAAAGGCAGCCTACTAAAATAAATGAAATTCCAGAGCTACGGCAGTATCATAGTTTTTTAACAACGTATGCTTACAATTTTTTGAAAAACCAATTTGAAAGTTCTGTTGGAGCCTATGTTCTAGACAACACAACAGAGGTTTCATGTAGTTGTCTCTTTTATAAATCAATGAGATTGCCATGTAAACATATATTTCACACTAGACAACTTCAGAACAAACCATTATATGACCTAAGTTTATGTGATACAAGATGGACCAGAGATTATTACTATAAAAATCAAAGAGTGTTTAAAAATGTTGAGATTGTTCCCACTGATAGCGATACTACAGTTACAATATTGCACAGAAAGAAAAAAAAAGTCCCATCTACTCATGAAAAGTTCCGAAAAGCATCAATGATAGGAGCAAAGATCGCCGAACTCATTTCTTGCCGAACTTAATATGTAAAATGAGAGCCAAGTTCAATACTATAATATATGCCTTGGTTGTTGACTTCAATTTTCGGACGTTAATATCTAAATAACGGTTTGAAGCGTGTTTATGAAATTTAGAGCACATATGTATCTCGTTAGTCTCAATATATGAGCCAAATTTGACATGTTTATGTGGAATAGTTTTTGAGTTATGAGGGGGTCTAAAATGGCTCCAAATGGTTCGTGTAATATTACACACGGTGCTGCTCGCCAGTTCTGTTAGCTAGAACTTGGCTTGACACGCTACCGCGTGTCTAGATAATATTATTATCATATTTTTATAATTACAGTGTGACCCGGTACTCTACAGTGTTACCGGGCGCCCGGTGTTCTATTATCGAACCGGCCGACCGGTGCTCTAATATCGAACCGGCCGACCGGTGCTCTAGACACAGCGTAAAATAAAACCCAGCATTTTAAAACATTTATTTATAACCATATTTGTATTAATAGAGAAAGATAAATTATTATTAAAGAGAACACCCAAATCTTTGACCATTTCAACTCTGTTAATATTAATATTATTAATTTGATAGTTAAAAATTATAGGATCTATTTTTTTAGTGAAAGAGATAGAATTGCATTTATCAATATTAATTGGTAATTTGTTTTGTTCACACCAAATACTAAACTTATTTAAATTATCTTGAAGATTAAGTGCATCATCTTGGTTTTTAATAGTAGAATAAAATTTTGTGTCATCGGCAAACATTAACACATTGACTGAAGAATCGAGAACAGATGGTAAATCGTTTATAAATAGATTAAACAGTAATGGCCCTAGGTGCGAGCCCTGGGGTACTCCAGAACTTACAAAAATAACCTTAGATAGTGAATTAAACAACTTAACTAACTGACATCTATCCGTTAGGTAGGATGTCAACCAATTAAGAAAATTACCATGAAGACCAAATCTTTGTAGCTTAATTATTAGTAAATAATGGTTTACTTTATCGAAGGCTTTACTGAAATCTGTGTAAACTGAATCAATTTGTACGCCATTTTCAACGGAGTTAATTAAATCGGTATGGTAAGTCAACAAATTCGTAGACACAGATTTTTTAAGCCGAAATCCATGTTGATTAGGACAAATGTAATTAGATAGTAAATTAGATAATTTTTTTGTAATTAAAGACTCAAACAGTTTAGGTATTAAAGATAATTTAGAAATTGGTCTATAGTTAATAACATTACATTTATCGCCACTTTTAAAAATAGGGACTAAAAATGATTTTTTCCAAACAGTTGCAAAAGACCCAGATGACAAGGATAAGTTAAAAAGGTTATGTAAAGGTTCAGTAAGAACATTTTTGCATTCGATTAAGATACTAGGTGGTATACCGTCAGGACCCGCACTACTAAAAACATTTAGTGAGCTTAAAGCTTCAAAAATTTCATTCTCACTTATATACCAAGAGGATAAATTTAAATTAGAAATAATATTATCAGCGTCATGGTTGGTAAATACATTACTAAGTGAATCAGACGTTGAGTATACGCTTGAGAAATATTGCGCAAATAATTGAGCAGACTCTTCATAACTACTGGCCGTAGAATTATTATATGACATATTTTCGGGAATGGAAGATTTATTAGATTTTAGCTGTTTAATGTATTTCCAAAATGGTTTTACATCTGATAGTATTTTATTTTCTAAATTAAGAATAAAATTTGAGCTACAATGCAATGACATAATCTTACATTCTTTACGTAGTTTGGAAAACTCAAGGTAATCAGATTGTAAAGCACTTATTTTGAATTTTTTATGAGCCAATTTTTTTAATTTTACAAGTTTACGTAAATCCGAATTAAACCAAGAGGGACACTGGTTATTAAATATTTTACTTTTAGGAACAAACAATTCAATAAAATGATTTAAAATTTCATAAAATTTATTAACAGCAGAGTCAATATTCAAATCCTTAAATGAGTGATTGAAATCAATACTAGACAAACATTTAGAAAAATTAGAAAAATCGGATTTAAGAAAGTTATAAAAAGTTAATTGATAAGTACCATCATTCACAAATGAGTGATCGAAATTACATAATAAGTCTAAAGGAGGATGGTGTTCATCAGCTAAGGGGACAAAAGAACACCCTTTATTGACCATTATTTTATCGATATCACTAAAAATAAGATCTAGAGTTCTACCATTTTTATTTTTTATAAAATTTAATTGCTTTAGGTTTAAATATTGAATAAACTAATTAACTACAACGAATGCAGTAGGATGGGTTACTAGAGAGTAATCCAAGGTCCAATCAAAATTATTTAAATTATAATCCCCAAAAATAAGTATTTTATGGTCAGGGTTACTTGAAGTAATGTTCTCAACCAAATCGCAATGTTCATAATAAATGTCTCTACTGATATAAGGAGGAATATAAACACAGATAACTAAAATTTTAATTGACCTAAAAATAATTTTTAAAAATATTTGTTCGATTCCAATGATAATCGGAACATCAATTCGATTACATTTTATACCAGATCGTATACCAATTAATACACCACCACCTCTAGATTCTTGTTCATTTTCTCTGTCCATACGAAAAATATGAAAATTATTGAGACCTAATTCTGCATTACTAACTTTATTATTCAGCCAAGTTTCGGTCAGGAGTAATAAATCACAATCAATAACACTTGTACAATTACGAAAATAAAACAATTTGGTCAAAAGACCTCTAACATTCTGGTAATTAGCATGTAAACTTAAAAATTTTGAGAATTTTTTACAATTTTATCAATAACAACAATACCCGGTGTACCTTTAGTAAATTTGATTGTGAGATTTTGTTCACCACTGGATTGGCGTGCGGCTAATTGATCCCGTAATTTCTTCATTTGTTCACGTTGAAATAGAGTTCTATCTGAACTTATACCAATATTTGAAAAATTAGGAGGGAGGCGAGATAAAATATGTTTCTTATTTTTCAATATATCGAAAGCATCACCAGCTGAAGAGAAAATTGCTTTAATTGGACGATGTTTATTGGGTTGATAAGACTTCCCGAGACGAATAACTTTAATCGGTGTTTTGTTATCGGACGATGTACCTTTGATAATTTTAGATATTTCTTCCTTATCGTAAAGTACTGTTTCTTCAATATTACTAGACGTACATTCCGGAATATTATAAAATAATACATTCGCAGCCCGAAAATTTCGTTCGTTCATTTCGTTTATTATAAATTCGTCAGATCTCGATGAACACGAATTATTCTTAAGATTTTCAACCTCAACCAACAAAGAACTGATTAGTTTTTTCAAATCCGGTAATTCATTTAGTCCTTTATCGCATGAATCGCAAAAATATTTTAATTTACGATTTTTCAAAGTAAGACATTTAATCTCAGAAGCTAATAACCCAGAGCACTTGTGATGAACAAGTCTCGGACAACTGTCACATTTTAATTGAGCGTCAAGATCATTAAATTGTAGCTCACAAACACCGCAACTATTAGTATTCAAAACCATTATAATAAAAAAAACCGAACTAATGCGATCAAACTGATTAAATTTGAACAATATTACGTAAGTAAACTGATAAGACAGGTAAACGCAACGAACGTGTTGTCTAATCGACGGTTGAAACTCAAGTTATTTATTTTATCTTTGTCTTTCCGACACGCTGCTTTTTCGCTACTCGTGACGGGTAAATAACACTAAAATAACACTAATCGATCGTTTTCGTTTACGACTCAGCTATTATTATAACAAGAACGACTTGAGGCGTATACCGTCTTCGTTGATATTCACACAAACCACTAACGACCAAGTGGTGTTTCAGGTGGACCCGCGGTGGCCCACGGACCCCGCGTGGCCGGACCTCAACGAAACCGGAAACGTTGTGTCCGACACCAATAACGAATGCTTTTGTACACACAATAACTTTAGCATAAGGCTTATGTTAACTACGTTGTTTTTGATATTATTGTTGACTAATTTATAACGTTCCGTGGGAAAATATTACCATTTTACCAATATGTTATTATCCTATGTATGTATATATAAATTAATATATTATATACCACACAGGTTGTGATTTTATGTTATGTACCATAATAGAGTATATTATGTATATTGTGTATAATATATACTTATTTATAATAAGTGGTATTACAATAAGTATTTATTATAAGTATTATATTATTATGAAAATATGTATTTTGTCTGATGCGTATACAGTCGACGGCTGCAAAAAATGTTAAAATAATTATTCGCAAATCGTTTCGTTTTACACCGTCCGACTGAAAAACATAGTTATTACTTATTAGGTATGTATCACCCAATATTCGTTGCACATCGTAAAAATGCATTAAAAAAATAATAAACGTAAAGACTTAGGCATAGGAAATTTTATTACGTTTAACTTTTATATTTTTTTATAACAAAATAATATATATAGGTACCTATATAATATTAACGTTTATTACTTAAGATGTCACTAAGGCATTTTAAAAGAAAAAGTCAAATTTAAGTCAATTTTACGCCAAAAACATATCTATATTTTATATTATAATTTAACGGAAGTATGCACTTTTGAATGAGGGATACATCATACATATTCCCCTTTATAATATTGCCCAAACGTACATATGTAACGTGAACGACGGGGCACGGTATATTCGAAAACCTACACACATTATATATATATATATATTATATAGGTACCTACGATCTACCACCGCGTCTGTAAGTCTGTATAATAATGTACTTTAAAAAAAAAAAAACACGCGTCTCTCAGTTTTCGCACATAATATTAACAATTAGTAACAACTTGTCGCATTGGTGCAATTATATAGGGTGATGCTATAATGAATTATATTGTATTCGACGTTCGTGTTCTTGCCTCTTATTAATATCAATGTTTTTTTAATTATGATTTAAAAATAGTATCTACAAGTAGGCACTATATGAAAACAAATAAAGGTAATAATAAACGAGACAACTGTTTTTTT